GCTGCCTTGACATGTAAATATATATTTATAATAATATTAATATTATTACTGATTACGAAAAGCAAATACCAATTATTCATCATCTTGATGGAGGATCTTATAATTACCTAGAAAAGATCTGCTCCGCGTTTGATTTCAATTAAAATACTTGTATAAATAAAAGATGTATCAATGCAAATTAAAAAAAGTACTTCTGGTCGGTTATTTACACGTCTTCAGGCAGGTACCAAACAACAACATATCTGTGTTAAAATTGTTTACCAAAAAAAAAAAACCAATCTCAATATCAAACTTCTTAATTGATGGTCCACCAATCAACGATAGAAATTTGTTATGCAGATCTGGGATATCAAACTAGTTAATTTAGATCATTCTATTCTCAGAGTTACGAGGTAATGATTCCTCAAGATAGAAAAGAATTTAAATAAGAAGTAAGTAAAAGTTACACATTAACTTTTTGTTTTTATAATATTTGAATAATTTTTGTTTTTCAAAATATGTACAATCCCTTTCGCCTTTTCAATATTTCCGTTCGAAATGTAGGCTGTAATCATTTCTTCATAAGTGCCTGGTTCTCTTGAAATATCGCTCATACTGTTAAATAACTTTTCTGCCTTTTCCAATTGCCCTAATTTCCCATAACTTTTAATAAATAGATTGTCGATACTTGAAGATTTAATATTTGCTTCATTAGAAATCATGTTATAATATTCTTCCGCTTCCTTGATCTTCCCATTACCCAATAAAGCATCTAATAAAGCTTTGAAAATTTCTACATCAGGAGCAATGCTGTGCGTTGATTCCAGAGAATGAAACACTTCTAAAGCGCTTTTTAAATCCTTTTGACAATATCCATACGCATATATTAATGATGCATAGTGTGTAGCTTTAGGCACTATTACGTCTTTCTGTTTCATCTCTTCCAAAACATTTAATGCTGATTTCATATCATATGGTTCAATTGTAGCATGCATATCTATTAATATTTTATATGTGTGTGAATTAGGCTCTAGATTTCTTTGTTGACTTTTGTGATAAAACTCAAGCACCTTTTCTTTACTAGGAACATCTGCAATATAATATTGCATCATGGTGTTGTATTGTCCAATTCTTAATCGAATATCTGCTTTATTTTCAATCTGCCGAAACAATTCAAGTGCCTTTTCCTCATATTTTGCTTTAGTATAAGCTGAAAGCAAAGCTCCATATGTGATAACAGTGGGCTGAATTTGATTTATTTCCATGTCATCGTATATCTTTTGTGCCAAGTCAACCCAAAGTGCTTTTCCAAATTTACTTATCAGAACATTACAAAGATATATCGTCGGCCTGATTTTAAATTTTATTATTTCTGAATAAATACTTAAAACAGTTGTGATGTCATATGGATCAGCCTCTTTTTCAACCACCAGAAGATCAGCATATGCATCTGCATCAGGATGCCAACATTTTTTGATCATTTCATCATGCACCTTAAAAGCCTCGTCT